GGAAAGAGTTAACTTCCTTCCAAGACCATCTTCAGACAAGGGGAAAAACATGGTCCTTGAAGGTAGGTACTGTATTTTTCAGTAAATATGGGTTGTCTCCTTTTATTTTTTAGTATTTATTACAAGTTATGAAGGGCAGTGTAACAGTGGTGACTTTCTCTGTTAGGTTCCCACTAGTATTGAATTCCAGATGATTGTAATCTACACTTTTGAGTCCTATTACAGACAATCTGAATTCCACTACATTTCTACTTAGCTTCAACATTCCATTCTGCTTTAATCCAGAGTCTCATTTAACGTGTATTTGTTGGAGGGCATAAATGTTACTTGTATATTACAATGCTGTCACTGTGTGACATCCCATATGAGTTTTGATGTAGATCACATTGCACTCAATCCGCTGTGATTATACGTAGAAAATACTGTAGTTGCTAGATGCAGTGTGACTTTTGTTTTGTTTTCCTTTCCCCTCCCATTAACAGTTGAGTCTATGGTTTAAAATGTGATTAGGGTCCTATAAGATAACTTGCTGAGCTATTGTCTTTTTGTTATAACTAAATAATTTTTTAAAATTTTATAAAGCTGGAAATGATCAAATGCTGTTTTGTTCATTGTCAACAGTGTTGTGTTCATTTTATCTATGTTCCTTATAAATAAGGAGCCTTCAGAAAATAAAATTATTCAAGGAGCAGATATTTTGTTCTTATTAAGTTTTATTGTGCATCTTTGTAGAACTTTGTTTTAAATCTCATGAGTGGCACAAATGCAACATGTATGTGGCTTTTCAGGACTGATATGCATCCCTTATAAGTGATCTGGGAAATGCACCCACCTCCGTAATTGTGATAGGTTTATAAGTTAAGCTGATGTAATGATGTAATAATGGCCCAGCCTACCTGATCCAGTGTTCTTGAAGTTTGCCTGAAGTCATGGGCAGGACAAAGTTGGTGGAATGGCTTGCTTGTAGCTGACAGAATTCCTCTTCTCTCACCGGTCTTCTACACTGGGTCCAAGTTTCACAGAATTTCATTACTTACACCTTTTTTTGACATTAAAGAAGTAAAAAAAACCCCAAACTATCACCTTTAATTGTCTAAAAAAAGTGTCTTTATTTTTGACATGTCATGGTGTTATTACATCATGACATGAGAGAATGACACCTGTCATTCCATCAGCTCTCCAGAAGATAACAGTAAAGCAACATCTGTTTTTCAGCGGAGTTGCACTTTCTCGCTCAGTAGACTGAAAATAGTAACTTCCAAAACAAAAACCTGCCCCATGAGAAAATGACTTGAAACAGACTGGATGTGGCTCTCCTAGGCAACCTGCAAGCTCTTAATTTTACACAACAGTTAGTCAAAACAGTCCTCAGAAAAGTATTAAAGGGTATTAAGAACAGATTAGCTTAATCCATCCTTATTTCTGAGGAAGAGCAAGCTAACATAAAGCTACAACTGGAACCTGAGGTAAGTAACATATATATGAAGGCAGTTTGATAAAAAACAGGGCTTTTCTCCCATTAGAGCAGTCCCCTATTTGCACATCACTGTGCTTGCAGCCATAATACACTTTTCTAGGCACATTTTTACAGTAGCACACCCAACTTCTCTGCTTGATCTTTGGGAAGTGTAGGGTATGGTATGTCCTCTGGTATTAATTAATATCTGCATGATAATCCAGGAGGTAAACTAATATCAGATGTTCTTAAAGACTTAAATGGTATTTTGCCTTTTCACATGTTGTGGGGAGCAGTGCAGTTGCATCTGTCTTCCAGCTGAATTCATTAACTTAATGGCATAACTCTGTGTTTGCAAATTAATGTTAACTTCTGAATACATCAGCAAAGGCAGATAATTGTGTCATGCATTTACTTACCATCTTGAGGAGCAATTTCATGTTCCTTATCTTCTAGCACTTCATAGTCAAATTCTAGGTCTGTTGGAATGTTGTGTTTTCTGGAATAGTTCTCTTCCTAAGTTCTATTTTAGTTAACTTGATAACCACCACCAGATCTGGATGCAATTGAAGAGGCCCTTAGTAAATTCACTTCAGAAGGCCTGTTCTGTCATAAGAGTATTGCTGCCCTACTT